AAGGGGCCATGTCTTTGGCATGGTAGTGTGGCAGTGTGGCAGGGAGTGGAGCAAGGAGAGGGGTGTCTGGTGTGGCGTGGCGTGGGGGGGGAGTGGAGTGGCTGGCGACTTTTAACTCTGAACGCACAAGTCAACACTACACACACTACACGAAACAACACACCCAAGCGAACACTGGCACACAGATACGAGCACACCTACTTAGACAGCCCCTTGAAGTGCGCAAATGAAACCTCAAGCCTACAGATGAATCCAGACGGACCCCGAGAGGCTGTTAATGTATGGACAGGGGCACGTCGGACCGTGGTCAGTGTTCTCTAACACGCAACAATTACTTTGCATAGCCGTACAAATGTGTTTCATATTTACCCACAATTTGATTTCAGATTAATCTTTCCCTTAATGTTTAATCTTTTCATCGTTGAGAAGGCCATTAATATTATTAATGTGACCGCAAATAATAGCCAAAATAAGTTTACAGGTCCCACCCATCCTGGTTTATCCTGGGGGTAACATTGGGCATGAATGGTGTACTTTTTTATTGCGTATACGTTACGTTAAGTATACGCATGATCGAAGGCATGCGGCTTAATTCATAGTTAACTTATTCAATTTCCTAGCTCTAAGTTCTCAGCCTATTTTTACAAAGCAATTTCTTGGAGGATTTCAGCAATGGTTGACTTATAGAGCGAAGAGGGATGTTTCCAGCCCTATTCCTGTCGTTTTGGAGCAATCTATTAGCTATCCTCGACGCGAACTGGTCGGATGCATTCTATCCGGATCACAGTGAACTCCATCAGACGGCTGTGCAAAAAGTTATATAAGTACGTGAAATATTTATGGCCCATTTTCCAAGCACCAAAAAAGATTGACCTCGAGCCTACTATGCAAATATACAATGCAAGCTACATTCCCCGCTGCCGCAGAAGGGCGGCACAGTTTCTTGTGCAACTTTTTGAGCTTCCGACTTTGGTATTCATATATTTATGACTGCAATGGTGTTCGTGTAGACGTAACTTGTTCGGCCTCGGAGACCGTTTGCAATGGGAAGTTTCACTGGCTTGTACAGAGTATAAAACAAAGGGGAAAAAAAACATCAGCAAAGAAACAACATCCCGGGGAAATCTATCTATCTACGAGTGTGCGAGTATGCGAGACTTTGAGGCCTTTGTCAAGGGCTTCGACTTTCTCTAATGTGGGGGGGTGGAGGCACCGACCAGGACCCAAGAGGTTCATCACCAAAACAAACCCGATTGGCGACAGGGGCGGCCGGAGGAGCCCTGGAGGAGCTCAAAAAGGCGGCCTGGCACTGATGTTGATCACATGGTAATCACTGCGTTCCCCGTCGCGTCGTCGCTTCGCTCCCGAGAGCTTTTTATGCCTTTTTATTGCTTGTTTATGACATTGTCGTTCGTCCCCGCTCGCTCCCCCCCCCCTGCCACAAGTGGCCCGCTGCCATCGTCCCCCCTTCCTCTTAACCTTAAGTCCTCTATCAGCCCCCCCACCCAGTGAGTGCCGCCGTGCCGCCAGAATATATGCCTTTTGTCGGGGTTTTTTTTTTCCAGTGTCAGTGTGCGAGTGTGTGGACAAAGAATATTTATTTTGGGCGGGGGCGGGGGGGGTAAAAAGGCAATGGGTGGTGGCTTCATGCTGGTTGGAGCTCGAATTGGAGTCGGGGTTGGGGTTGGGGCTGGGGCTGGGCTTGGGGTCGGCTCCCTTGTACACACACAAAAACAAAAGCGAGGCGACAACTTTTACGAGCGCATAATCGAAAAACTTCCCACAGAACCTGACAGATGAGGATGGGCGGAGAGGCCTAAAGTCATCTTCTTTGTGAAGCTTCCCCTCTCTCCAGGCTCCTGCCCCTCCCCACTTCTTATGTTGTCTGTTGTAAGCAGCTGCTTTGAATACAACACAAACAACACCAAACAGCAAACAGCAGCCACAATGAAGCTGGGCAACTTTTTCATTGTTGGCCATTTCGATGTCTGACAACAGACGGCGACGACCACCTCTGGGGGGTGGGGGCAACCTTCCTGCTCTCCTTCCCCCCCTCCACTCTCCTGGGGTCATCTGGCTTGGCTAATTGTGTGCGCGACTTTTTGATTTCCCATTTGTCTGGCTGCGTCCACCTCCGCCGCCGTCAGAAACCCCCCCCCGCCACACCCCCACCCACACCTCCTACAGCTACATATTGAGCATAGCTGCCGTCACCAATGCCCCTGCCACAGACCAATTGAGCAGCTTCCACTAATTGTTACACACGTCTGTGTGTGTGTCTATGTGCGTCTGTGTGTCGTGTGTGCATGTGGTTGTGTGTGTGTGTGGGCAGGACGCAGGTGGCCCGACATGCCATGTGTGTGTAGGATTGGGGTGTTATGGGGCCTGGCATTGGACTCATTTGGAAGAGGAATGCACGAAAGATTACCATGGAAGCGCAGCGCCTTGGTAACCTTTGGGTAGCCATTTGCCCGCCGGAAATGCTGCCTGCCTTGATGCCCATGACTTATGAATTCGCAAATTTTGCATCTGCTGATCGATCAGCTCTTGCACTGAATTATTGCACTGTTTCCCGTGGCCCATGAGCCCATGGACAACGAGTACTCATCGGTAGCGGCCCCATTTGTGGTTCCCTTGGGTGGGGTTTGGGTTTTTGCATATTGACACTATTTGTGGAGACCATTCGCTGACGGTTTGTATGTTAACCTGCTCGTGATTGAAAACTATATTAATGTTTTATTTGTCGAGATTTAGCACAGTTATCTGGTCAGGAGCCCTCCGAAAATGGAAGCGGCCAAAGAGGCCGTGAACTAAAATTCAAATATTGTGAACTGAATTATGGGGCTGATCATTAAAGCTGCTCAGCGACTGGGGTTCATCGCTTATCGCACCATTCCCCATCCTGGAAAAATAAACCCAATAGCAAAGGCTTTCGAGTACAATTACTGGTTGAATAAAGCGACATGGAGTGCACACAAGTGTGAGGATTTTACAACAGAAATTATATGAGTGTAGTTGCAGATACAAAATATGTGAGCATTGATATTTGCCGGAGCGTAGCAGTGTTGAGTTCCACTTTAATTTGCAATATTTCATCTCATCTCACTTGAATTAAACTGCGGCAAACAATATAGTTTGCATATTGGTCGATTGGCAAGCTATTCGACATTCAGAGATTCCATAAAAAACGTATGCAAAAAAGCGGCCCGAGGGGCTGTTCAAAATTAATCTCTTTTACGGAGCCGCTGACATGGAAATCAATTAAATGAACCCTTGGGGCCATATGCTGCCCACTCGTATTTGTATTTATTTCTACTGTAATTGTTGTGTAGTTGTCCCAAGCCAAGTATTAACCATATCGATAACAGGCTCCGCTGCAACGCAGGCAATTAGCGAGCCACCATCAAGGAGTCCACAACTTGCCACTTGCAACTAAATCCGCTTGCCGCTGCAGTTGCAACTAAATACAGATATGAGCTGTGGCAGCCAACTGCAAGGGGGCGGCGTGCTGGGGGGCTGTGCGTGCGTGTCAGTGGTTTTTCTCAGCTTCTCAGCTTGTGCCGGGCTCTAAGATCCGTGGCTCTGTTGACAAGTGCTGCGCAGAAAGTTTCGCTCGTCGTCTCATATTTTTCGTATTTAATTAGTCAGCCGAGCAGCGCAGTGCAACTAAATATGGGCACCCCCCCCCCATCCTTGTTGCACTCATCCTCTCTGCCCCGCCCCGCCCCGCTCTTTCCTTTGTCAGCTAGCCAAATTCTGGGCTGTTATAAAGTAATTTTCGGCATTGGCTCATCTCATCCCAGAGGCAAGAAACAAGTCAACAATGTTGTCCACACATGACACATGACACTGCCACTGCCACTGGCAGTCGTCCCCTCTCATGTAACCGTTGATTACACTGCAATGTGTGTGTGTGTGTGTGTGTGTGTGCTGTTGTCAACAAATATTTGTTGCTATATTGCATTATTAGTTTCTATGAGTTATGAAAAGTTAAATAATTGCACACACACGCGCATCAAGAGATAGCGCGAGTGCCAGAGACAGTGAGAGAGAGAGAGAGTTATAGAGAGTTATAGAGAGAGGGGGGAAAACTTGAAATTGTCTGGCAGCCGAAAGGAGCAGGCAGGGGGCTGCTCCTGGTCTACTTTTGGGGCGTGGTCAGTCGGAAAGTTGTCATCGCTCCGCTTTCTGCTGACACACGTATTGCGATTCCTTGATTGCCAGCATGCCACCCCACCACAGCATAAGCCTCCCCCCCCCCCGCGCCGCAGCGGAAAAGGAAAAAGAAAAAAAATACCGGAAGTAGAAAATGCTCTGAAAGAAGCCAAAAGTTGCAGCAAAGTGTCGACAAGTTCCCTCCAGCACCACCCCTCGCATATTTGTTTTTTTCTTTGTTTTTTTTTGTTTTCTGTGGATTGGAAAAGTGGAAAAGTGTCCGAGTCATGGGTCTGCTATAAGTTAGTGCTCCCCAGATAGTAATTATCAGTAGATTGTTGGTCAGCCCAGAGCACACACACACGCACACACACACGCATACACGAACAGACAGAAATACAGACGGAAGTTTGACAAGTTTTGTAATCGGTTTTTGCCATTTTGATTTCATTTATTGTACATGACACAGAGGTGGGTGGCACTCGGCGATAAGCAGTGCGCTGGAAAGTTGCTCCGCCTCGCGTCCATGCGGCACATTCATCAGAAACCTCGCTTAAGCACACAGTTCCCCTGGCAGCCATAGTTATGGAATAAACCAATCTGTCTTAAATTACATTAGAAAATTATCAAAACCGAATGTGAAGACTGGTCGGAGCAGGCCGGAGGCTTAGATACCCTCACAGATCGAGGACTCACCCAGAAACTTTACCACATCGCTCTCCGATCTGCATTCTCATTCTCTTTAGCACTCAATTTATGGAATTTAGGGAACCCAAGAACGCTTTTTATTGAACAGTATTTAACAGAACAAAATTTGGGCCAACGGAACTGAATTAATTAATTAAAAAAAAAAGGTAACGAGACTATCGTCAACAAAGACTCGTTATATGGTCAAAAAAAACAAGGCAAAAAACAGGGCCGGCATCAGACACATCAGGCCCAGAAGCATTTCAATTGGGCCCGTGAATTCGTTGGCAGCCTGAGTGCTGGCGAGCCACTGGGCCTGTGAGGCCTGGAAATAGTCCTTGGGCTTGGGCAGACACGAGTAGGAGCGGATAAAGCGTAGAATGGGTTGGGGCACCTTGGGGCTTGGTTCCTGGTTAGTTGTCACGGCTGGAAACGGTATTGGTGGGACCCTGTTCCAAGCTGGCTGTCTCAGTCCGAGTATTGCTCCCTCCAGACCATGGGCACGGAAGGGCCTCCACGAAGCAGACTTCTTCTTCTTCTTGCAAGCTGACTCTGACTTCTTTCCGAAGGATTCGTATACTTTGTTGAGCTGCATCCGGAGCTCTCTGTCAATCAGGCGATCCAGCGATGACTTGCTGACGCACAGCCGCGGCGGCCCAATCATTTTGGTTTCCTTCTGGCAATTCATAGCTGAGCTGATAACGAAACAAAAAGGCAAATTAAATTAAAACTGAATTGAAACTGCTTTCCAAAATTTATTTTTACTAACATCTAGAAGTGCTCGACGCAACGACACAGCTACGAATGAATGAAATACTTTGTATGGCAATGACTTTACTCTCCCCTCACAGTGTGAGTTGTTTTCGAAGGGCGCTCTGATTCTGATGGGATTCTAGGTTCTTCCTCGAAATGGTTTTCAATCACAGTTGGCCATTTGCCCAGTATGTACTAGGGAACTGATTCGGAGTACGAACTGATCCAAGCAATCAGAATAAGTTACCGAATTATAATTATGTTTGCGTTTTAGATTCCAAGCAGCTTCATTACTCCTCCTTAACTTATGTTTATTAGTCCATAGCGATGGACAGGTTGACAGACTTCATTCCATTGCTTGGGCAGTACTTCCTTCAGCTAGTTGGAGGCCCACTCCCTTGATTATGTACGAGTGTGTTTGCGGCTGGGAACCTACCGCAAATTAAGACCATTCAATTGAACAAAAATGTAATTTTCTAATTCACAGACCAGAGAACGTGGGGCTGCTGGCTGTTGGCTGTTGGGTGCTGCTGGCTGTTGGCTGCTGCTGGCAGCAATGATGACAGAAATTTGGACAGGACACCGAACTGACCAATATCCGCCTTCGACACTGTCCGACGGCTGGCTGCCTGCATGGCCATTGCCTGGCCATTGGCAGGACACAGGGGACCCGAACCCTTCATTGGCCTGTCTCCTGCCCCGAAGGAAGTATTGAATAGTCGTCGAAGTCGTCGTTCTTGTCTGAAGCAGCAGTGGCAGTAGCAGCAGCAATATCATCATCAGCCATGCTCCTCCTTCTTGGATGTAACACACACAGAGAGAGACACACACATGACCATCCCATCCATCCATATACAGTCCCCACACACACACACACACACACACACACAAAGTTAAAGGAAATGAAAAATTCTTAGTAAAATTCCCATCATCCCTTATTGTGCTCTGGGGCATTTTGCCTTTTGGTTTTTTTTTCGCATCCTCCTTTCCTTTTCCTTTCCCACCCTCCTGTTTCATTTTTTTTTGTTACTCCATCTACCCAATCTCCCCTCCCCGCTCCGGCTGTGGGCACTTTCTGGGCTCCCCGTTTTCTATATTTTTCAAAGAAATTGCAATAGTGCTTCTCACTATTCGTCGCAGTGTCCGTGGGGTGTGCGGGTGTGTGGGCATGTGGATCTGCCCTGCGATGACAATAAACACACACAATATGTAATAAAATCGGACGCGTTATAGAAAACGCCGTGGGCCACATCTCCGATGATGATTCCCACACATACTCGTCCAGTGGACGCTGAATTCGGAAGCAGAGGGCGGGCGGCGATGTGGGAGGTCCCCGAGATGCGGCGGCCCCGATACTAAAAATAGCATATCAAATTTGGGGCAAATACTCGTATATATTGAATTTGCAGCGAATGAAACAAATGCGAGGGAAGGCGGGAAGCAGGCACAGCGGGCAACTATCGAATTGCATCACTATCGAATTGCCAGCGGGGAGCAGTCAAGCTGATAGTCGAACTATTGGAACTGGATTAGGAGCATCTGGAAATCAAGTTAAACCAATGCCTAATCAGTGCGCCTATGACTATGAATAAAATAACCGAGTCAATAACCGAGTTAGTTTCGACTCTGGAGTTCTGGAGTTCTGGAGTAAGGTAAAGTTGCAAAGTATTAAGAGAGCTTTTACGCTTACGCTTGCAATACTGGAAATTGCATAAAAAGTGTAGCAGCCATTGAATCGATGCTTTTATTAATTATGGACAGTATTCATTAATCCTTCTGTGGCTCAATGTCAGCTTTGCATGCCCAATTTTATATTAATAGATATTTTGTTGCAAGTATTTGCAAATTTTTCGTATTCATTTACTGGTCCAGCTAACACAGGAGGAAATCACTTAACCCGACAGTAACCCGAGTTTTGCTCGTCTCCAATCGAGCAGGCACAATTGAATTCCACCTCCTTTGCTCTGTATCTGATTATTTATTCAAGTTTCTGGCCTTTCGGACAAACTAATTAAAATGGCAAGCGATTCAGGATGAGCCTTCTGCCTTGTGGCCTCCTGGCTTCTACCTCCGTCTCCTTGTCGGATGTCCGTTCATCTCTCTGTATAAAACTTTCGGTCGAAGGCAAAAAGCGAAAGCTTTGAGGGGCAGAAGGAGATGTCCCACAGATGCATACATACATATGCACATGCAACACATGACGATGAAAGTCAAATAAACTTTAACGCATCCTGGGCATGCAGTCAGCAATGGATGCAATGGATGCCTCAAGGACCAGCCACAGGATGAGTGGCGTCGAAAGGAGCACCCAGAACAATGCAAGCAGGCAAACAGACAAACAAAATAAAGTGGCAAATAAATAAATATTAAGTATTTGAAATTGTGGTCGAAAGGCAGAGTAAAAAGTGCAATCAGAGTCAAAGGACAGCAGAGGGCAGGGCAGGACAGACCGGACAATGCTCGTAAAGCACACAACAGGTGAGCGAGGGCAGGATTGGAAAATTTCCACCAGATAGATGTATTTTCAAGAATTTTACGGCCTGCAGCACTGAAATTGCAAATTTAATTAGGGGCCAGCAGCCGCAAATGAATCGTGAATCGATTTCTAACCACTCCAAGGGAATATATTGACATTGTCTTATGTTCGTTGAACTTTGAGCAGGGTTACATGGCTCACTTCCTCAGTCTAATTAGCTTGAATCATTGCTTTGAACTTAAACTTAGGTCAAATGCCTGAACCAGCTTGAACTACCATCGAACCCATTTGGAAATATACACTATCAGGCTTACACAACGACTGTACTCCCGAAAAACAAAATCTACTAATATACCTTCTATTAGTAGGTGCATGTAGACTAAACAAACTAATTTTTAATCATCGTTGAACTACCAACTGGCCCATCTGCAACTTGTCTGGCAACTGCAGTTGGATGCCAGCATATGTATATTGAAGCACTTCGAAAAGCAATCAAACTACAGGGCTTTTCACTCCACTCGCTTCTTTTTCAGTTATTACTCTCCCAGAAGTTTTCAGCAGCAACTGAACGAGCTGTGAATCGTTCTGGGCTCAAGCTCAAGTAGGGCACAGGCCCCACCCATCCAAGCCCATCCAAGCCATTGCCACAACTTCTTGGAGGCCGCTGGTTTGAAGGCAGCTAATTTAATTACCACAACTCTGGATGGTAGATGGTGGATGGGGAGCGGAGGATTGTCGCACGGAGATGGAGGCGTGGCCGGCGCTGCTCCTGTTGCTCCGCTCGTGTGTGTGCGCCAACAAAGAAGAGCAGCATGTTTAGAATAGCAATTAAGAGGACAAAGTCAGAGCCACAGCTAAAGCCAAGTCAAGCCGTAGATAAGCTCTTCATACAGTGGACGAAACGGTCGATCTATCGGCGGAAATTTCAAAATTAAAGCAATTGAAAACTCATATTCATACCGACAAATAACACCTACTCCACTGAGTATTTTAGTAGTTGCAGAATTTACTTTTATTAGTAATTTTCTAGCCATATATTTTAGCGCATAGTAAAATTAAAAAAATATTCAATATTGTGTCTGGGTGACCTGTGACTTAATGTGTTATTTGAAATTGATAATAAAAGTTAGTAGCCAACTTCAATGCTTGGCGTACTGCATCTTCATTTATCTGCTTTTATCTGTCTCCATTTGTTGTTTTCTGGATAGATTATCTTTGTGGAAAATACAACATAAAATTCCGAAATCTACCAGTTAATTTATCTATGTTTTATAATGCACTTCATATATAATATGCCAAAAAAAAAAATATTTGGTGTGTGATGTCAAGAAAGAAGGGCTTACAATAAACTAATAGCTGTAGAAGAGCATGAATATATTAAAAAACGAGAAGGAACGTGTGAGTCGCTTCTAGGGACGCGACTCTACTTATACCCGTACTCAGTCAGTATATACATTTTTGAGTTTATGATTTTTAAGAATTTTAGAAAAAAAAAAAATTTTACATTTTACATTTTTTTGCTACATTTGTTATCTACATCTACGAATACAATGTATATTCTACATCTAACATGTAGATTGTACATGTTCCAATTAGATTCTACATCTCCTCCGCTAGGGGTTGCTCGCGCACTGAACGCGGCAGAATGTGCGAGCGAGAAGGAAAATGAGATGCGTTGTCGTCGGCGGGAGGGGGAGGGGAAGCAACTGAAAATTAATTTCTTCATTCTGGCTATAATTATGATCCGATCTGATTCAGATTCGGCAATCTGGTAGATATGGGCATTTTCTACGATACTGCGTTTTTAGTTTTATCGTATCTTTAAAATTGTGCCTGCCACAGATTTTCGTCCTTTGTGGGGGCGGAAGGGGGCGCGGCGAAATTCTGAAATACACTTGTAGCAGTGTGATATCACATAAGTCTGGAAACCAAATTTGGTTTCTCTAGCTCTTATAGTCTCTGAGATCCAGGCGCTCATCGAGACGAACAGACGGACAGACGGACGGACGGACGGACGGACGGACGGACGGACAGACAGACATGGCTATATCGACTCGGCTATTGATGCTGATCAAGAATATATATACTTTATGGGGTCGGAAAATGTTCCTTCTCTGCGTTACACACATCCACTTTTACCACAAATCTAATATACCCCTTAACTCTTTTTTGAGTACGGGTATAACGAGAAGGAACGTGTGAGTCGCTTCTGGGGACGCAACTCTACTTATACCCGTACTCAGTCAGTATATACATTTTTGAGCATATGATTTTTTAGAATTTTAGAATTTAAAAAACAAATGTTACATTTTACATTTTTTTGCTACATCTGCTATCTACATCTACACATACAATGTCTATTCTACATCTAACATGTAGATTATTCATGTACCATTTAGATTCTACATCTTCTCCGCTAGAGGGCGCTCGCGCACTGAACGCGACAGAGAGTGCGAGCGTTACATTTAAAGAGAATCAGAAGCGTCAGCAGCGGTGGAGAAGGAGGGGAACCAACAGAAAATTAATTTCTTCACTCTGGCTATATTTATGATCCGATCTGATTCAGATTAGGCAATCTGGTAGATATGGGCATTTTCTACGATACTGCGTTTTTAGTTTTATCGTATC